GCTATCAATCTGTTGTCAGCCACTGCTGCATAAGTTTGATCCCCGATCATGTGGAGCTAACCCACATGGCACTGCAGACCTCTCCTGTCTCGCCAGATTCCCCCCCACCCCCAGAAGTTTATTTCAATTGATCTGCCTGTTTTGTTCTACACTCTGTCTCTGGTGAATCCTCTCACTCACCATATTTCTGGCCTACACCCCAGTTCTTGTATGCATAAATAAATAAAAAGCTTAAAAAGAAAAATGAAAATCCAGCAAATGTTTTTCCATAGTGGCTACATCATTTTACATCCACACTATCAGTGCACAAGGGTTCCAGTTTCTTCACATCCTTGCCAACACCTGTTTTTTGCTTGTTTTGTCTTGTTTTATAATAGCCAGCCTAGTCAGTGTAAAGTAGTATCTCATTTGGGCTTTGATTTGGCTTTTCAGAATTTATTTTTTCATTTTATTAAAGATTTATTGATTTATGCATACAAGAACTGGGGTGTAGGCCAGGGGTGCAGGGGTGGGGGATGTATAAGAGGATTCACCAGACACAGCAGCAGGCGCGACAGAGAGGTTTGCTACTCCATGTGGGTCAACTCCCTGGCCAGCAGGGGAATAAACTTTTGCTGCAGTGGCTAGTAATAGCTTGGCAGCACTGTCTTTTACTCCTGTGCCACGACGGAGGCCCTGCTATTCAGTTTTATTGACATGAGTTTTATTTTAGGTGCACAATATGATATATGTATATATTTCAACATGATTATCACAGTAAACTTAGTTAACATCCATTTTTTAGTAATGCTGTAAATCTAGGACCTTATTTTTTTAAAAGATTTACTTATTTATGTATACAGAACTGGGGTAAAGGCCAGAGGTGCGATTCCCTGGCCGGGGATCGAACTCATGCTGCAGTGGCTGTGATAGCCTCATAGTGCTGTGCTTTAACCTGCTGCCACCAGGGGGGCCCTGTAGGACTTTATTTTTTAACTCTGAGTCTGATGAAGATCACCAAGATTGTGAATATATAGAGAGAAGAGATATAAAGCCTAATTCTTTTTAAATTTTTTTTTTAAAGATTTATTTGTGCATACAGAACTGGGGTACAGGCCAGAGGCTCAGGGGTGGTGAGAGGCTTCACCAGAGACAGAGTGGGGAGCAGAACAGGCAGATCGACGAAGTACACTGCTGAGGGGAGCAGCGGGCGGGTCAGGAGAGGTCTGCCACGCTATGTGGTCACCTCCGGGGCACGCGGGAATCGAACTCATGCGGAAGTAGCCTTAGCTTCTCAGTGCTGTGTTTTAACCCGCTGCGCCACCAGGGAGGGCAATAAAGCCTAATTCTTGGAGCACAAATAACATTTTTTAAAAAGATTTACTTATGCATACACAAACTAGGGAATAGGCCAGAGTTGCGGGTGCTTAAGGATTCATCAGAGACAGAGTGGGGAGCAAAACAGGCAGATCAACTGAAATACACTATTGAGGGGAGCAGCAGGCGAGACAGGAGAGGTCTGCCACGCCATGTAGGTCACTTCCCTGGCCTGGGATCGAATTCATGCTGCAGTCAAGCAGGAAGAGATGAATTCTGTTAAAGTTTACACATATGTCCATTAAGATGAGAGTGGAGACTTACCATTTGATTTAGCAAAAGCGAAGTGAACCTTTAGCAAAAGCGAAATGACCTTTACAAGAGTAGTTCTGATGGAGTGATAGGAGTGAATTCACCTGTTCATAGTGAATACAAGAAAAAAATAGGAGAGTAATATGAGGCAGGGAGTTCAAATACTTTTTTGAATAAATTTTGTTGTAAAAGGAGTCTGAGAAATGGAGCAGTGACTGGAGAACAGTGTAGGACCTGGAGAGGAGTTTTTGTTTTATGACAGACATTATAGAATGTATGTTATTGGGCTTGATACAGTAGAAAGAACATTTACTGCAGAAGAAGAGACAATAACTAAATTAGCTTGTGGTTTGGAAAAGCAGAGCTATGAAGTCCTGTCAATTTTTTAAAAAGATCTATTTATTTATACACATAGAACTGGTATATAGGCCAGAGGTGTGGGGGTGAGGAGATTCACCAGAGACAGAGTGGCGAGCAGAATAGGCAGATTGACTGTTCTACCTGTTCAGTCTGCCTCAGCAGACAAGTACACAGCTGAGGGGAGCAGTGGGCAGGTCAGGAGAGGTCTGCCACACCAGTTGGGTCACCTTCCTGGCAAATTGAACTTGTGCTGTAGTGGCTATGATAGCTTCATAGTGCTGTGCGTTAACCCCTTGTGCCACCAGGAAGGGTCGAAGTCCTGGCAATCTTGTACTTTGCTCAACACTTTCTAATACAAAGAGAAGAATGGTAAACTGAGGAGATGGTTAATTGTGACTGCTGTGGTCTTCTGTAAAGTTAGGTTTAAGATCTTAATGGCAGCCTATGGTTTTATTTTTAAAGATTTATTTATGAACATAGAGGTATGGGGGTGTCAGTGGGGCAAGAAGATTCATCAGAGAGAGTAGGGTAAAGAACAGGCAGATTTTTTTTAAATTTTATAATAGTTTATTTTTACATCATTTTGTGCCTTTTTCCATCTCAGTTGCAATCCCCTTGGGTTTCCCATCACCAAATCACCCATGTGCCATCACCATAGTCCAGTGCATTTCCCTCCCCCCACTGTTTTTGATCCCATTCCCCACTTCACTCCCACAAAATGTCCCTGGTATATAGCTGTTCATCATTATCAACGTTTTCTCACCTCGAACAGGCAGATTTAACTGAAATACACTGCCAAGGGGAGCAGCAGGTGAAACAGGAGAGGTCTGCTGCACTAGCCTCTGATTTTGTTTATACCAAAGCATCTCAGCTTTTCTTTGACCTTGCCTTTTTTTTTTTTTTATATTTTTAAAGATTTATTTATTTATGCATACAGAACTGAAGTACAAGCCAGAGGTACAGAGGCGGTGAGAGGACTCACCAGAGACAAAGTGAGAAGCAGAACAGGCAAATAGATGAAGTACACTGCTGAGGGGAGCAGTGGGCGGGTCAGGAGAGGCCTGCTGCACCATGTGGATCACCTCCACAGCCAGGGATCAACATGCACTGAAGCATTTGCAGCTAGTTTGTGGTGCTGCATCCTAACCTGTTGCGCCACCAGGGCAGGTCTTTTTTTTTTTTTTT